TGGGCCAAAGGGGTTCACTGTGTCCCTGGGGGAAAGGATAAAGAAATATGATGAGGTTTATTCTTTAAGGCAAGGAAGAATCTGAGTAATACAATTACCCTCTGTGCACAAAATAGGCTAATGTATGGTACATATCCATTGTGTTTGGAATATCATACAAGCCATATTATTATTATTATTATTATTATTACATAGTATGTATATAGCGCCAACAGTTTGCGCAGCGCTTTACAATATAAGAAAGACAAAGATGGTAAGGAGGGCCCTGCCCCTGAAGGCTTACAATCTAAAAGGGAGGGACCAGTGATACATGAGGAGGGAGCTGTGTGGGGATGAATTGTTTGGTATATATGTACAGTATATATTCTTGTCCTGAGTTATCTGATGATCTGCAGAGACTTACCTGCTAATGTAGAATCCTCACTTACCCTTTAGTTTAGTTTCTTGAAGCTTCTTGGCTTCTTAATGAAGCAGAAAATAAAATGGTATGTGGTGGATCTGTCGGCGTTGTGTGAAAAACTTGACCCTACGAAGATTAATTTCTGAAATCTTGAGTCATTATTAAGAAGTCAGTTTTTATCTCTCATGTACTCCAGTTTTAGATTGAGCAGCAAATGTGTTCAGATAAAGATCCTGATAACAGAAGTTTATTATGTGAGAATGATGTGTTTATTCAGATGCGGCATTCCCTAGAGCCAGCACAAGCTGAACACTGTGTGTGCATTGATGCCATGTGCAATAGGGACATTTAAAAAAAATGCATACTTGTATATACACATATAAAAGTTGTCAGTAAGTAAAAGAATATATAATCATTCTTATCCTTTTAGAGACATTTCCATCCTGTTGTTCGGATATTTGCAGCTCATCTTTGTGCTGGGGCTCCATCAGAAGGTTCAGCAGCTCTGGGATCCTCCTATAGCCGCAGGTAAGGTTTTTACATGGGGAATGGTCCAGTGTTGTAGTTCCGCCAACTGCAGTCCTTCCTACAAGCACTGGAGCTCCTTTAGTAAGAAATGGAACTGTATTCACATTGGTATTTCTAGAATTGCATACCTACAGATTCAGGAATATGTCATTAGGGGTTAACTTTAGTTTTTGAGTGCTATCTTAGGGTCCCCCTAGTCCAGGGGTCGGCAACTTTGGCCCTCCCACTGTTGTGGAACTACAAGTCCTATGAGGCATTGCAAGACTGACATTTTCCAGGCATGACTCCCTGAAGCAAATGCATGTTGGGATTTGTAGTTAAACACAGATAGAGGGCCGGAGTTGCCCACCCCTGCCATACAAGTTACAATCAACTTTAGACTTGCCAAAACTGTGTAATATGAAGACCTACCTCATCTATCTGTATCCAATCAGGTAGGCCCATACACTACATAGTATATCTAAAGGTTATTGTACAATCAGATTGTAACATGTGGTAAGCTTAAAAGGGGAGGAAGGGGGAGTCTGACCTGCCAAATTCACAATATAACTTGAATTAGTGTTGGATAATGCCAGGACTCCACAGGGGTTATGCAGGAAGCCTGACAGAAGAAGAAGATCCTTTTACTGGCCTTTAAAATGACAAAATATTGAAGTAGCATGCGGAACCGATCCGGCTCTGCTACAATAATATAATATTTCATATACGTGAACTGATGCTTTGGAAGTATACAGGGGCTGGTTTTGGACTGAATACAAAAAGCTGAACCTTATAGGGTGTGAAAACGCCCAAAAATGTTCTGGCGTTATGTGGGTGAGGGGTTCTGGTATAGAAGTGGTTAAAGTACTACAGATTGTTCCTATTCTCCCAATGTCATGTGGAGAAGATAGAAGTGCTGCATCTTGTGTGTCGTTCTTCCACAACATTTACACCTTTCTATGTATTCATCTTTTGTAGGTCTGCCACAGATTTATTTCATGATTACAGTATAAATGGAATGACCTTCAATCCTCCAGTTCCGGATTCCGTCCCCAAGATAAAGTTCAAGGTATTTGATAAACGTTTATTTTCGTGGTAATATACATAATTTGCAGCACATGTGGCACAGTGATGGACTATGGCCTAGTGGTGACCACATTGGACAATCTTCATCACTGTCTAGAGAACGGTTTATTGTTTTCCTCAGAGCAGCCAGACAGACAGACAGACGCACGCTGCATTTTATTCCTCAGTGTGTGAACTCTGTATTGTCAGCACATACCAGCCATCTTTCACACCCAGGACCGTATTGAGCACAGTTCAAAACTGTGTAACTACAAACAATCGGATGTTCCCAAACTCTTAAATCTGGTTTCTATGGGAATAGTTATTTCTGACTTTTTTTTGGATCAGGGATAAAAGGCAACAGTTGGACAGTAACCATGCAGCTGCTGTAGTAGGTTCTCCCTGACATGCCAAACTGAGTGCAATTAATCTGCAAAAGGTACATTTGATTGAAGTGTGCATTGGCCCATTTTATGGGAGAACAATTGTCATTTGGAGCTAATTTAACATCCCAATTATATTTAAAGCAGAGTATCAGGCAGACAGCTCAAGCCTAAAGCTGGCCGTACACCTAGAGATTATCTGCAGATTTTCTATGGTCAGATGGAAAAAGTGTGACAGATTCCTCCATCTACACTAAACTGTGTGGATGGAGGAATCTCCCGCTGGGCCAAAGCTTCAGTATCTTCCTAGTTGGCCCCGCTGGCTCTCAAAATACCTGAACAATCTGATTTAATGCAGGCCAGCGGGGCCAACTAGGAAGATACTGAAGCTTTGGCCCAGCGGGAGATTCCTCCATCCACACAGTTTAGTGTAGATGGAGGAATCTGTTGCGGTTTTACCTTCTGACCGCAGAAAGTCTGCAGATAATCTATAGATGTATGGCCAGCTTTATACTTGAACTATATTACCTGTCAATGGATTTGTGATTCTGTGCAGCTAGTCTTGTGATCCATTCTTGTGGCTGCTACAACTAGTTAATTGGGAATGAGTGGTGGAGTGAATAAGGTACACAATCCAAAGCCAATTCTTCCTAATAAATGTCAAGGCCTGATGGAAGGGGTAGTTATGGCTTTTATTTACTGGAACTTAATACAGTATTATTAAGGCAAAGCTTCCAACACCCAGGCAGCAGTGCCGGAGACAATGAAAGATGAAGTATACATTTGACACCCAATTGTGAGATCACTTAACCACATTTGATCTTTTCTCCTGGACACTTTTGCTTGTGTGAAGTTTTACTGCTGCATGTTGGGATTTTGGCAGATGGAGAACACTTTTCCCTTTATCGCCTGCACATTACAGCCCCATAGACCTCTGTAGGGCTGTGTCCTCAGGTATGAGATGGTGGAAGACAGCCATGTAGAAGTCTAGGGGGCTGTAATGCACAAGTATAACCAGAATGCAAACAGAGCCGCTCAGAGACTGCAGCCATCAGATCAAGGTAAGTATACATGGGGAGGGAGAGGGTGGGTCAGGTCAGGTCAGTTAGTGGATGCACTGAAGACCACCTTGGATTGTTTAATGAGCCTTTCACAAAATGGAAACCTGTGTGCTCTAGCTATATAGTCTGAACATGTAGAAATTCGTTTTCCCAATAAAACAGACTTTTAATCTTCTGTGGTTTTATGTTGCAGGGTAAAAGTAGAACCCATGAGCTTAAAGAGGACTTACAGGAGCTCATTGAGAAGCATCTCAGCAAAGCATCTTCCGTACAGCCGAATTTTGCATCCGTAGTAAAAGGGCAGAGCACATAAATCTGATCAGAATGGGAAGCGGAAGGGACATTCCTAGCGAAGACGCTAATCCACCTATTGGGAACACATGCTGCTGAGCTGGACCTCCCATTGACTTCCTCCACTAATGAGATCATGGTCAGGGTGCGCACTCATTTAGCAAGAGGAGACTTAATCTTGTACCCGGAAGGAGAATCTCCTGCTTTATAGCAAAGGTTTGGTGGCCCTTTTATTTAACATTGTAAGACAGTTTTGGATGGTGCCGTTCTTCCATTGTACATACACAGCAATTACAATAAATAATCTGTATATTTTACTGACTGGTAACTTTACTACAGAGCCATTAATTCCAAACCGAGCATTTCTTTGTGTTGATGAAGCAAACATCTTTATTTTCAACATATACAAATACAAATGTGTTTCAAGTCTGTATACATAAAAGTAGTCCAGATCAAACAGTCAATTTACAAAACCAACACATTTCTAACGGACACAGAAAGTCAAGATAAAGTCCAATCACGTCAAGCCATGCACCAGACACAATCATTGAAATAGCTGTATAAGCAGTGCTATTGTGGAAAAGACCCAGCTGAGTAGAGTGATATCAGTGACTCAAAGACATTCAATTACCAGGGAAAGAAAGTCACTTGGGGGAATCTATTTATAAAAACATGGCATCGATATTTGTTCTGTGTGCGCACATTTAGGCTGTTTGGTTGAATGTATTCAGTCCGTTGTTTTAGGTCATTTTCCTTGTCTTGCTTGTGTGTAATACAACTGTCAGCGATCCTTCAAGTATTGCAGCACTTATCCCCAAATACAAGCATCAGCAAAACATGCGTATATGTTCTTTATCACCATCCCATGATCTGTGCTGGTGAGGGGGACCAGGTGCAATTTAAGACTAAATCCTCTGGTATACCTTTCACCATCAGATGTGAATACATACTTCTATATAAACTGGCTTCTTACAAACACTGTTCACATTTGTAGCATTCAGTTATTCCCGGATACATTGGAAGGAATTCATAGAGTGTCATAGAAACTCTTTAGAATGCCCCAGATCCATGTACCTGTTGGAATGGGAAACGGGCACATGGAGTTGGTGCAAGCACCAACATTTGTGTTGCAGAGGTGCACTGAGGGCAGAGTGCTCATACTGGACACACTGCCCTCAGTGCAGCTTACCACCTGGTCCACTCTAGTCACAGTGCAGGGCAGGTATGCCACCAGTGAACAGAGAGACGGGTACTTTGCCCATCTCTCTCTACTGCAGCTTAGAGATGGTCTTAATTACTTCCAGTTCTTTGCTAACAAAACTAGGAAGTAATTATTTTTTTCATTTAGTGTAGCCATAGCAACACTTTATAAAATAACTTACTGAATCTGTTGTATGTGACCGTCAAGCTACCAAACTGATGACAGGACTTACCGTATTTTTCGCTCCATAAGACGCACAAAAGGAGGGGGAAAAAGTGCCTGCGTCTTATGGAGCGAATCCCGATGCCCGAGGCATGCAGTTTCGGGCGCCGGGCAAGTAGTAGGAGCCACTGCTCGTTTAATACGAGTGGGCTAATGAGATCACTCGTATTAAAGCCGAGCAGCGGCGATCAAGTTCAGCAGTAGGAGCCACTACTCGTTTAATACGAGTGATCTAATGAGATCACTCGTATTAAAACCAAGCGGCGACGATCGAGATCACCATAGAGTAGACGAAGAACGGACGTTCTTCGTCTGCTCTGTGTGATCACTGAGACCGCGGCGCTGTAATCACAGCGCCACCTGTCTCAGCGGTCACTAACTGCAGCTTCTGTCATAGAAGCTGTGACAGAAGCTACGGTCTGTCGAGTGCTCCATAAAGGCGCGCCGGACCTCCCTGCGTCCTATGGTCCGGTGCGTCTTATGGACCGCAAAATACGGTATTTGATACAGGATCAGGCCCATACTGCCAAAAGCTGGCCATACACCTTACAATTATCTGCAGATTTTCTATGGTCAGATGGAAAAGGTGGAACAGATTCCTCCATCTACACTTAACTGTGGCCCAGGTGGAGATTACTCCATCCACAATCTGTTGCACTTTTTCCAGCTGACCACAGAAAATCTGCAGATAACTGTAAGATGTATGGGTACCTAAAGACTTTACTGAATTCCCCAGATTGTATGTAGTGGATACATAAAAGTGACTTCATCTCCTGATATTCTTAACCAGTAAAGCAGAGAGTGCTGTGTGTGCTATTGTTACTTTTATATTGCTCACAGTCCATCAGACATGGGGGGCGGGGGTATATGGATGTCGTGCTGATGCTTCTACCACTTTCATTTGGAGATGCGTGCCACAATAACACCTCAAGGTAAAAATACTGCAGATATTACAGTTGTATTTTTACTTCAGAAAAGAAAATAGACTCAGTTCATTCAAAAGAGAAAACTCACCAAGAACACTGCTGGTGTCCCATTCTCACAATATCTGCACAGAACGAAGGTACCTGTCATTTCACTCAGCAAATGGTTATGCAAATTTGTTTACAAATAGACCGCAAATGGTCCAGTACTCCTAAAGGTGTAATGTGGAGGGATGACATTTAGGGGACTCCTGTACCAAAACACCTCGAAAGCCATTTGTTTTGGCATCAGGGTATGTTTAAAATCATAATTACTTTTGCAGCTTCCATGCTATAAGATTACATTGGTGTTCTCCACCCTCACTGCCCCACAGACCCATGTGAAGGGACGGGCTCAAACAACATCCAACTGACTCAAATGGGTCTATGACAGTCACAAACATCTTCTGGTGGACCATCGATCACTCCCATTTAAAGGGACCTGGATGTTTCTCCCCCAGAGAATGTCTGTGCAAGTCCCATTCCCAGCTTTATAGACAGACTCTGAATGTTCACCACTATGGAAGATACTATTCAGGAACCAGTAATGTGACAATGTAAGCTGCTAGTGCTGACCTCTGCTAAAATGTCAGACCGTACTGTGGGGTCAATGATCTGGGAAAGCCAGGCATGTTGTATTTTCAGGAGCTCTGCCTTAGCAGCTTCCAAACCCCCCTCTCAGTACAAGTTTCCTTTAAGATTTGTATATTTGGCTAAAGTCTTTGTTACATTTTATAACATTACAAATGGCAATAACTGATAGCACAGCACACCTAATGGGCTTAGTTTTAAAGCAGTAAAAAACAATCCAAATTGCGCTCATTTCAGCAACCAAATCCTAGTAGGTTTGGGGTGAAATCTGACCCTCCTTTAACCAATTATTTAATGAAGGAGTTGGGGAAAGAAATGATCACAATTGAGCGTCATTCCCTATTTTATAAATTGGGTGAAAGCTACTGATTGGTTTATAAATACAGCAGACAATGCACAAGCTGAATGAAGGTCTCATCCTGGAGAGCAGACCATGTACAAAGCACAATCATCCCAGCCGGGTTACTTTGACACTCAGATGAAAAAAATGCATAAAAATGATTTTAAAACTGGACTACAGTTACAAACAATGAAAACCCGAAAAAACCCCACGCCTGACTGCTGCTCAGGAATATGCCACATGAGGCCACTAAATCCTCTCCTCCCACGTTTATCCTATGACAAAAATCCAGCAAAATAAAGAGCACTACTGTTTATCGGACTGCCGATAACTCCTGTTCATTCCATGCAGATGAAATCTACACAACAAGCTCTCGGCATCACTGAAAACATAATTATATGATGCTGTTGGTCAGTAACCTTGTTTGGAAATTTTAAGACAACTCTACAATCAAAGTAAAAATTAGGCATAATTAAACAAAAACAACCTGAATATAAAAACCTCCCCAGGATCAAACACGGCTCGCCATTCGATAGGCCTGGTCTGTCAAATGTCATTGTGGTGACCTGTAGGGCTAAGTGCCAGCTTTTCCATGCTCTCTGGAAGTGTGCTAAGCCATAATAAACAAATTGATGGCCGGATACCTAATAGTATGTAACCACTCAGCATGGTGAGTAGTTTGTCATTCGAAATTCTGTATAACACTTACATGAACGTGTTTAGGTTAATCATAGGCAAACACGTGCCTTGTTTTATGTTCAGTACAAAATAAATATAAATAGTTATAAAATCTGCTGACAGCTAAAATGTATACTAGCATCGTATTAGTAAATTAAAGTAACAACGGTTTCTAAAATAAAACTATACAACACAGTCTTCATATAGACCTTCACCTCCAAAGGTAGCATGATTGTAGCAATTACTTCACATGTATCCTGACTCTCATTACAGTATTGTTATACAAGATCAGCTGAAATCTCCAAACGTGTGCCAACCTCACCTAACTGAGACTGTCCTCCATCCATCTTCACAGGAGGACTTTAGAAGGTGAACCCCCCTTACAGCTACAGTGGCTTGGTAGTGCACTGAAAATACGATTGATAAATGTGGAAATGAAAGCCATTGTGATAGCTGCTCAATCACAAATTCCCTTTGACAAGCACAGAAAAACAAAATATACACATTCCCTCCTCCGGGACTGCAGCTTAAATAAAAGTATACAATAGAATTAAATGATTAAGATTCATAATGCAGGAAGGTTCCGCTCTGGTAATCAGTGGGCTTAGAAAGCAGTGATTAGAGGCTGAGTATTCTGCTGAGATATTAACAAGTGTATGAAACATAAACAGCCTGTTGTCTACCGCGTGTATTTTTCTCAAATACATTGTTGCCGTGTTACAGAACTAACTTCTGCACAAGATTAACTTACAGATCTATTCTAGACAAATCACATAACTTGTAAAAACTTGTTCTGCATCCAACGAAGGTAGATGTAGTCCATGGCAGGAACACACAAGGTTTAAGGACAGTGGTACATGCACATACAGTCACTGCTCAGAACAATGCCAGACATAGGCCCTTCACATATACACAGTCCTTCAAGTGTGTAAAAATCAATACAATGCACGTAGGGTTTTAAATTAACTACCTCTGTAAACAAATGAAATATACACATACATGGTGCATCTTTTACAATAGAAGAAAAAAAAAAGTGTTCAATGCTTTTATGTACTAAACTCATAAGGTGCTAGGTATCAAAAGAAAAGAGTAACATAACAAGGTAACAACTCAATGCTGTGGTGACAAAATAAAACAAATGAAATCTTTCTAACACTTCAGGACAAACAGCCGTCATAAAAGCACGTTGCGTGTCAGTGGTCTGGAAGTGACGTGTGACATTACATCAATAAATATAAAGACACATTCCACAAAGGAACTCATGAAGAGCCAGCTAATTAACATACTGAAGTCACATATTCTGTTCACAAGCACTTGTAATCTATTTATAACTTCAGTATCTAATGTCACAGACTGTGCCATGTTATATCTTCATAAAGGAAAAAATGAAAACTAGTGAAGCTCCTGCAGTGTGTACATGTAAGACCTCTGAAATATATCACCATTGCCACCAGTAACAAGACATCACTGGGGTTCATTACAGCGGAACAAGTAAAAAAAAAAACATCCTAAGCAGCGCCCGTACATGACATTGCAGGAGACATGTGGAATAATTTTGCAGTTTGCAAACCTTCCATTCTTCTCGCCTTCAAAAATATTTCAGCCAGAAGACTACCACTGTACCCTTCAGCATTAACCAGGCTCACCGAAATCCGCTGCTATACAGATCATGCCAAAGGAAATCCATTGTGATCCCCATTCCTGGCAGTAACTTCATGTGAAATCCAGAGGAACTGGCACTTGCGTCATTTTGGCAGTTTCCAGTTTTTAAGTAGCTTATAGTACCATGCTGCAATTGGCTTTCTACAGCAGGATGAGTATCTGTATACGTCTCTGTTATCTGTTGAATCAAGATCTTCTTTCCTGCTCTGCACTCCATAGCACGAACAGTCGCCTGCAAATTATATGGACATACACAATAAACATACAGAATATCGAAAAATCGGATCTATTTATTTTTTTATTTTTATGAAAACAAAACTCCAGACAGACGTCTGTTTATGATAAAAACTCTGCTGTTTTATTACTGCCTGTGCCCCCTTACTTCCTCTTGGCAGATCTTGGGGACACAGTGAGCAATAAATACACACAGTTGTTCTAACCCTGCCCTACTTGGTCCAAAAACAGTTTAAGCCAGAGTTCTCTTTTTTATAACATAGAAAACAGCAGGCTGAAAGATTTAAGGCAGTCCCAGTCAAATGATCTGACCCTTTGATTTGATTTGATTTTTTTTCTACCTGACATGCACCTTTACAAGTCCATGATTCGGGGTAATCTGACTGAGGCTTATGTCTGTTCATCTCCATACAGATTACAACTACACATCAATTCTAACTTTCCATGATCATTGGCGATATACTTGTCTGGGGAGCTTTGCCACTACCATGGTTTGTGAATACATGTTTTATTCAATGGTTTCTACCCATGAATGACAGGCTTCAGAAGAGGAGGCGCTGAAAGTTATACTTCCAAATGGCTACTGTTGGCTAGATCACTTACTAAGAATGAAAGGTATACAGAGATATATGTACCATTTGGGGCCCTGTGATATGTCTTTCTAGTTTGCCCAACTTCAAGAATGATGTATGCATTTACTGTGTAGCATTTGTTCTCTATTGATGGGCACATAATAAATAATGCATGTTTGGCTGGTGATTAAGTAGTAGAGGGCAGTGAAAAATGTAAGCAGCAATTTTGCTGTAAACAAATGTGTGACATAGCAATAAATGGAAGTACGTGGAGTCCCGTGGGAGCTTTAACAGATTCCTGGTTCATTCTTTATTTGGCTTCGCACCTCCCCAGTCGCCCATTGTTGTGATGGGCTGCTTTGTAGTGATGTACAGGAGGGGGATGGGAACACAGCTAAGCCAAGTTTGAACCATAAAATGTCTAGGAATGTGAAAACGCGCTGCCATGATTTTAGCTCTCTAGGTTGTTTCTGAAGGTATCTGCGGGCACCTCTGGGTATTTAATTCTCATTCTTATAGCCGGCATAGCACTTATTTACAGGAAAATGTATAGTTAAATATGTCACTTTGCAATTGGCTGCTTAAGTGTACACATACAGTACATCTTGTGCTTAAAAGAACTATGTCAAACCCTTTTTTTTTTAAATATACCTACTGTGACCCAAACTCTGCATCTAGCAGTCTACAGTCCCACTATATGTTGACCATGCAGTGCAGCCGGGAACGATCCTGCCAATCCACCCTGCTGCCTGATTGACAGCTGCCTCTGCCTCTCTAGAACCAAAGCCAGCTGTACCCGCCCTGTCCCCTAAGAGCTGGAGGAACAGGGGGAATCCGTGCGGGGAGCAGTGACTGACAGAAGCCGTGAGCTGAGCAATTAGGGGTTTGTGATCACTCAGTTCTTGAGCTATAGACCGGCGTGTGACACATACAGTGTCGCACGCCGGCTCAAGCTATTGGGAAGAGTATATTTTACTCTCCCAATAATTCTTTAAATTGCTTGAGTATTATAAGGAATTTCATTTTACTACTAAAAAAAATATAATTCCATTTTCACACACCAGTTACAGTAAATATCTACTCTGTCATCATTAATTCTTCTGAAAGCCTGCCCCATGTATGATCAGCCTAAGACTAACTGCAGTCAGATGAATCCAACCCTTTGCACAGACACAAGCTGCATTTTTTTCATTTCCATTAAGCTAGGCACATTGATTCTTATATTTCCTTATTTTCATTTGAGTATAGATACAGATACAAAAGTACAGTTATCTCAGACTTTGTAACAGAACTAGATTAAAAAGCACGTGCAAAACATCGCAAAAGCATGCGACTATGCAGCATGGGCTTTTAACACCTTGTTAAAAGCCCATGCGTCTACTATACCTTAGTCACAGCTAGGTTGATGTAGAGAAATTTAAAGTTTATTATGACATTTTTAAATAGAGTTGAACTGGGTTTTGTCTGTGTTTTCAGTTAGGTTGCCTTTGAACTCTAGCACTTCTGAAATTGGGAAAGTGTGTGAGGAAGAATTTCTCCCAGGGAGACACAAACAGCAATAAATACATCTGGAGAAGAACCTCTGTCTAGTTTATACTGTGTTCTGTACCAGCAACACATTGCGTGTCAGGGTAGGATGGGTTATTACCGGGAAAATAAGTGATGGGAATTTCCCCAACCATTAGAGATATAATACAAAATCTGTAGGAAAACATTAACAGTAACCCTTTCTTACTCTAAAACTAAAATCTGGGGTTGACCTTTAGTGACCCTAAACTAAAATATAAGTGTGTCAGAAGTGAAATCTGAGGGTACCTGAATGTACTCATACAATGTCAAATGCACCATGTTCTAAAATAAGGATTTTACACGCAAGACACAGGAAAAGTATTCTGGAACAGTAAGACTAAACGCAGTCTAACTGAGGGGTGGGCAACACAGCAAAAAAGGTGTTACCACGGGTGGCTGAAGGGAGTCTACAGCACTACCTGATGAACCTTACGAATAGAGACGGCATCAGCAGAGGCCTAAACATCCACCTGATGAAACTTAAACATGTGAACAAGCAGACCAAAATTCTGAACAGATGTCTGATGCTGAAAGGCCTACAAAGCAATAACTGACCTTGTAGAGTGCGCTTCGACCAGAGAAGGCGGAACCTTGCCCCTGAAGTTATAAGCCTGAAACAATGAGCTTTTGAATCAACCTAGGAATAGTGGATCAAAAAGAAGTATGTCCACTACAGGGATCCTCAGGAACAACAGAGAGTTGGACCGTCAAAAGGGAGCTCTAGCTGAGAGATAGAAATGGCAGAACAATCTCAGAGTTAAGAAAAGAGGACCAGAGCCACAAAACAACCTTGTCTTTGTGTAGAATAGGAAAGGGTTATTTATAGGTGAAGCCCGCCAACTTAGAAACTCATCAAGAAAGACATCTTTGCAAGTAAGAATAGACAGATGAATATCCCTAATAGGTTTAAAAGGCGGTCTTTGAAGGACCAACAGAACAAGGGTAAGATTCTATAGAGACACTGGGGAAAGTACAAGGGGACCAATGTGAGCAACACCTTGCATGGAAGCCTTCACTAAGGATTGAGAGGTAAGGGTCTCTGATAAAGAACCAGTAAGGCTGAGATTCGACCCTGGGTGGCACCCAAGGGCAAGCATTGCTCTGGGCCAGTCTGGGAAAAAAAACCAAACAAGATCTATCCCACAAAGTGCTTCCTGTTATGGAAAATTCCTTGCCTTGTACCAAGCTAAGTACGTTTTACAACTTCAATTATAGACTTTGAGGGAAGTTGATTACCTAGCCTTTAAAAGCATAGGGATAACCACATTCAATAGGCCCCTGTCCCTAAGTGGGATTTTTTTGCGCATTCTTAGCTGCATGTGCAGAAGCAACTGCAGGAATATCAGAGATATCCTCTGGAGGAGGTGTATGCAATTGCTTGCAGCACCTGTTTACTGAGTTGACAATCATGGCAGTGATTTTTTTCCTAAAGTCCAACATATTTGTGGAAATGTTCTCCTTTGATGAGACAGAGGAGGGCGCTGCTACAGGCAGCACTTAGGAAGACTCTGGGGAGCAAATACACTGCGGTCCAGGCTGTCAGCATCAGGTTAAAAGGGAGGGACATTACAAGCCTCCCCAGAGCTGTTAGTGAATCACTAGCAGGCAACCCCAACAGAACTGATCCTTTTGCACTTATGATCCACCATACTGCTGCAACAGACTGCCCTGCAAATGTACATAAATATTAAATGTCCCAATTTCTGTTCTGTTTCTGAATGTTATTGGAAATGCTTTCACGTGATGCTTATAATGAATTTTTAGGAGGTATAACAGTCCTTTAAAGTAGACCTGCATTATTAGTGAAAATATTAAGATGAGCACAGTGCAGCATAATACACCATAAGGTGCAGGTTCAAAGTTTATTTTGTAACCCAAAAAAATCACCTGCTAGAGCCACTCCCAATACCTAAACTATGTGGGTATGGGGAATGACAGACATCCCCACCCTCATTCCATAATGCAGTGCTCAGGGTCAGAGTGACCCATTGACTGTCCAAGTCGAATTACCAACATTAAAGTCTATATTGACCTTTTACATTATGTTTCATGTTACACCCATATTCCTGCTCACTTTCCTGAATTGAGAGGTTTTGTTCATGTCTTGCTGCTGATGTTTTTTGAAAAATGGCGTGGCTTAGCCAACACAGCCACGTGATCCATTCACAGATCTGTGCAGAGGATCTGTGAATGGAGAAACTACAATTACCATCTGCCACCGCGGCAGAGAGACTTGTAGATCTCATTGGAATACAAGTGCACTTGTAGTTCATTGACACTTTCTCCCTCTTGTCTCTGTTGCTGCTATTAACAGAGATAGGGATAATCTGCAGGACCCAGAGCACTGCACCTGCAATCCACCAATTCTTGATGTTTTACTGGCTCCAATGCAAAATAAACATTTCCTTGATGAATATGTGTGCATTTATTATATTTTTTAAAGTTGGAATCTACCTTAAAGAAAATAAATATTGGCACTGGATACTCTGTTGCGTGCCTATTATGCAGTGCTGTATTCATCTTAAAGGAGAACTATGAGGTGAGTGATTTTCACTCACCTCATAGTTCTAGCCGACCTGTGACAATGAGACTGTCACAGGTCGGCTTAGTAGATCGGGAAGTGAGCGAACACATACTGGCGTTCGCTCACCTCTCAATCCTGTCACGGCTCTCTGCCGTGACAGGGGAGGGGCTGGATTCCCCCCTCCCCCCCCCAAACCTCCAGCGCTGACTGGCGGAAGGGACGGGGGAGGGGGCGGGTACAGCTGGCTCTGCCTCTAGATAGGTAGAGCCAGCTGTCACTCACGCAGCTGGGCGGGTCCCGACATAATTGTCGGGATCCGCTTCAGCTGCGGCGTCTCAGTAAACCGCAAGCTGTAGCTCGCGGTATACTGAGCTTAGGGTGGCGGGAGGACGCTAGTTTGTGTCCTCCCGTTACCCTAAGGAGAACTATGGGGAAAAGCCCTGACCCCATAGTTCTCCTTTAATATAATTTGACAATAATACAAGTTTACTGTAAAATAAACCTATACTGGCAAACATTTCAGCCGCCCTTCTGAGCATGCTCGTTACCAGGCTGGCTCTGTACACAGAAGAGCAGGGCAGCCAGAACACCTAATCTGCATTAATTTGTCCTACATGAGTGAATCAGTAAGAATTAAAGCCACTGGCTCAGCAGAACAGCCTGAGAAACAATATTTTCTTTAGGAGCTGGCAGCATTAGCAGCCTCCATATTTCTCTCAGTACAAGTTTCTTAAAGTGGATGAAATAGTTTATTGCAGACAGGCGTCAATTCACTAAATGTAATCTGATAACGATAATGTAACCATGCTTGCTACTTTAACAATCAGTAGGTTCAGTTTGTGTACCTAAATATTGCTTGTGTGAAAGCAGCTAAACTTGCAAATAGTTAACGGTTATTTAACTCTTTCTTGCTTAATTCTCATTAGTCATTTCTTTTCTTACAAAACATTTTACCTCCACACCTTCAGCCTCAATGTTCTGCTCACCTCATACAAATCTCACAGAACCACACAATTAAAATCAATCAATATTTTGGTGAAAACGTGTCTGATCATTTTTGTGAACTGACTTTTAAATGCTTCTACTGAAAAATCAATACTAAAATGAGAACAGAAAGTGTGCGTGGTAAACAAAGCTGCCCCATGCACTAAACCTTTTGTGTATTGGAAATATGATTTTCAATAGAAACATTTCCCCAAACAAAAAGCACACACAGGGGGTCAAATTGCTCTATGTGTTACCTTTTAGTGAACGGACGCCATAGTTAGCAGCTTATCTATACAATTTATCATGCAACAAATTCAAACGGGAGAGGATTGAGAAAAGGAACAGATAAAACACCCATACCTGCAAGGATTATGATGCACACATATATAGTTGCTATTCACTGAAGTCATTGAAGGGCAAACTGCATGCAGGTTTTTCATCTCTATTCTGGGTACCTTCTGGTGACATGATGTGAGGTGACAGTGTGAAGTTCCGAGACTGCCGGCTTGACTTTGCAAGTTTCTTCAGTTCACTTGCAATCGAAATGCCTTTTTTCTTGTCATCTCGTGCTGCCTGCAAATAAATATCTGTATGTAAACACTTGGGCATCATAATTCCTGTTGTTAAGCTCTAGTTGGTAAGTGACTTTTAACATGTATCTCTAAAAAGATATTTTACTCTTAGTTTCCAAAAAAGGTTTGATATCTTCAGTAGGAAATATGGATCTGTCTATCTGGGGCTGGGCATAAGGAAGAAATTGGAAAGGATAAATAAGGCAGCCATATTGTGAAGCAACGATGTTATTTTGGTCTCGTGGGGAGAACAGTTTACAATTTAACCTTCATTGAGTTACACTTGACACGGTAATACTATCTTCAAAGAACACACACAAGGTTATGACAAGGCAGAGCAGGTGCCTGGCAGGTTGCATGTGAAATGTACTAGACTGCAGAGCAGACACATAATCCTGTAAAAGATGACCTACCGGAAATGATACAGACATCCTCTGTGAAATGTAAGGAGGTGTTAAAATTCCAGCAAGCTTCAGTTAAAGCCTTTGGAGAGGATGTCTCTTCTATGCATACTTCCACAAAGTGTCATGCACAATCCCGGCAGCTGATTACTATACCTGAACCTGCTCCTTTAATTTCAGAATGAATTTCCCGGCTCCCTTCCACTTGCTCTGTGCCTGGTAAACACACTCATGGTCTGAGAGGACCCTCTGCGATGTTTTGGGGGTTGATGACTTCTTGTTGGATGTCTCTTTTGTCACTTCCTCAAGCAGTACATAGTCACTCGGGTTTGGATTGTTCAGAATGCTGTATGAGTATTTGGCTTTGCTGAGGGCCTAGGGCACACAGACAGACAACAAATTCTTAGTTTTACATATTCAGTCAGTCACAGTTACATATTTAGTTTGAAGAAAAGTACACCTGTCTATCAAGTTTAACCAATAGAGAAAAAAAAATGAATCAATTAAAATTCTGCATCAATGCAACTCCAAGCCCACCGTTCTTCCAAAGGAAAGCCACATAAAAAACCTCTTATAAAGCAGTGATCTTACTGTAAAGACGCTTTTTCCTATATAAAAGGTCAAACCTCTTTCCCTCTATACCCAAACAGTGCCCCTTTCTCATTTTCAGTTACTTTAAAATGAACACGTTTGCACCAAATTTACTAAAGGAAGAATAACTTCAGATCAGTTGATCTTTCCTCAAAACTGGAGGTACACCATGCTCATCTTTTTTTTGAGAACCCAAATAATTTTATTGATATCAGCTTGGTCATTTAGACATATGTACGGTATATGCCATATGGATATCTGCCAGACACTTGTTGCTTGTGACAAGGACACCCCAGGTAGACATCTACCACTACATTCTATGCAAAGCACTAACAAATCTCTGCATTCAGGAACCTGCAATCTTGAGTTTTAACTCTTCCTGGCAGGCAGATGTTAATAAATTACATACACCGAGAGATACTTTATGTTTATAAAACTCTATAAATACCATTGATTACAATTTGACATTTGTCCATGCAGTCTATTAATGGAGCTGCTCAGTAATGAATGAGAAAGCTACGGTATTACCACTTCCTGTAAATACAGTGAGAAGAAATGTCTCTTCAGAAAAATCATCAAAGACACGACAGGACAGGGATGAAAGTGACATTAAAGGCAGTTCCCCCCCAGTGCTACTTTAAGTGCTTACCTTATGTGATGCCTCTTGATGCGAACATCTTCTTCCTTCCACTCTTTTCTAACAGTCCCTCCAGCGTTTGTGCCGTTCTCTGATCCAGCGCAGACTCCTATGTTTTGTTGTGTCCCACGGAGTCTGTCCTGCGTGCATTCACTTACACTGTCTCTCCTCTCCCCTCTGGTGATATCGACTGCGCATGCACCCGCACACAATTTCTCCTGCACGGCCATTCACAAAGCTGGATTCTACAGCTGGGAGCGAGCGGCACAGACACAGGTAAGTTATTTGCTTTTTTCTTTTTTTAAATGTTTTTGCATATATCTACTGCTTGCTAGATATATGTTAAAAAAAAAAAAAAATAGAGCCTTTAATACTACTTTAAAGAGAATCTGACATTAAAACACTTCCTTATTCATCAAATATTTCCATCCAGCAAAACATGCATCTTTATGCCTATACAATTTATTCTCATAAAAGTCTATCTTCTGAATTATTTGTGAGCAAAACCAAATGAAAATGGAAAAAAAAAATATCTGTGTTTGTGTTGAGGAGTTTCTTGAAACTGCAAGAGACATTCCAATTACCTGCTGAATAACGTCCTGTGCTGTGCTGAATCGCAAAGCTCGTATAACAGTGCGTGGCTGTTCAGGAGAGACATCATGTACCTGGACAAAAAAACTCTCATCATCTGTATTGAGAGGCAGCTCCTTCTCTTCCTTCTCCTCCACAGTTACATTTCTCTCATTCAGATTCTAAAGCGAGAGTACAAGAAGATAATAACACATCAACACTACTGCTAGCTTCCAGCAATAAAATATAATACAAAAATAAACAAAAATGTACAGTATGTGCAACCCTCAGCTACCTACAGACAGCCGATAGTGGTCAGGTGCAGGTCACTTTTGCAGCCAAATTGTAATAACACATATTTGATATTTGTTACATGTTTCTCACTCACATAGCAGAACTTTAACAAGAACTACGGGCAGAACTTTGCTTAACTTTGATGTTGGGCTATCTCCGCACTGCAAGGGTTAAGTGGTAGTTTTCGTCTAGGTGCATCTCAGCTTGCTCTTAGACTGGTCCTTCAAGCCTCTCTCACTCCACTGCAGCAGTCTGAGGTCCTATGAGTCATCATGTCCTGTACACTGTTTATAGGATGCAAGGACTCCAAGGGCCATGCCATCACTGCAGCGGGGGTGGAGAGAGGCTGGAGGGAGCTCTCTAACAGCCAGCCATCTCTGAGGTTCGGGTGAGTATAACCTCATTTTTGCACCTAGACCATAATGAGCACTTAACCCTTGCAGTGCAGGGGTAACCCCACTGCAAGGGTTAAGAAAAGTTGTGCTTGCACAAAATATGCTAAAATCTGAAAAAATAATTCTTCTCTCTACTGAATTTTCTTTTGGAATGTCAGGGAGTTGGGAGATGATGAATGGTAACATAATGAACCCTGTCTGTACTGTGCTGTCAGATCTTATTATCAGTTGTAAACTACATATGAACAACATCTGCCCTAACAAAGGGTTAATGATCTAGAAGCTTTATATATTAATGGGGGAAGCTCAGTCTGTCACTAGTCTTTCTATTCCGACAGTCAAGAGTTTGCGGTTACTGAAATTGAGAGAAAAGCTTGCAAAGGCCTGCTACATGGGCACATCTGAGAGGTAAGAAATATTTTCTCAATTTCAACTGCAAAAGTGGAAATACACTTAAAGTGCACCCTGTGGAATTTGTTGTCTTTTTCAACATCTATAAACAGGCAAAAACTGTGTCAGATCTTCATTCAAACAGCGCCCACAGATGAAGATGATATACTTGGATGGTTCAACTTCAACTTTTAGACAGATGGCTTCTCATTCTCATCAAGCACACTAATGTTATGCAGAATGTATACTTGGCTTAATGACTGCAATCTGCCCTGGCCCAGGAGCAGTAAAGCAACAGCAAAATATAACATTTCCACCCCTATGCTTCACAGTTGTTTGTTGTTGGTTCTCCTCCCGAAAAACTGCTTTTGGCATATGGCAAACATGTTTACTGTTACTGTGACCAAACAACTCGTCTTTGAACGATCAGTGTTAAGCACATCGTTCCAGAAAGCCTGGTCTTTATTTTCAATGGCTAACTGCTCTAATTAATTTATTTTTTTAGATTCATGCATTTTGACCCCAACTGATGCAAGAGTTACCTGAACACCCCATGATACAAATCTTAGAGATTCTTAAAGCCAGGTAGAAGGATGAGTGTCTGTTGGGCAGAGCAACCAATAAGATATCGGCTTTCATTTTTTTAACCTGCACTAGAAATATGACAGCTGCAATTTGTCTGGCAGCAAAAGGCAGTGCACTTGCCTTTACTTCATTATGATCATGATGATGATGCTAAAGAGGAATGACATATGATTATGACACCATGCAAGCAGTTAAATTCCCACCAGAATAGATGCATGTGAACTATTTTACCTTACAAAACATTTATAATATTGTACAGCCTGTTTCGTGATCCTGGTACTACTGCCAGACAGCACATCCAGACCTTAAACCTCTTTGCAGACTACAGTGGAGTTATACAACACAGCCTGGTCCAGGAGCAATACCAGCATGTGACTAAATAGTGAGGGAGCTGCAGCACATGGATGAGGATATCCCTGTGCTCACCCCTCCTGCAACACCATTGAGCAAAGCAGTAGGACCTCAATTATCTCAGGCTGCTGACAGTGATCCCTACCTCTCCCTGCCACAAAGGGAATTACAGGCGGCAGATCTCAAGCCAAATTGCGGACTTCTACTAGTTGTATGAAACACACATTTTTAAGATTTCTCTCAATGAATGCATAACTGAATTATATTATGTTTTGTTTATATCCGCCAAATGTTTAGTGGTAGGAAACAAGTTATTGTTTCTTTTCTTGAACTGAACATACTTCTTCCTGAGTTTTAAGAATGATCCTTCCCACATAGCCTTCTTCTGGGAACCAGCTGTTTAGAATTTGCAGGATGTCTTCTTCTGGGCCAATCGCTCTTTGGAATGGAGGTTTTTTACATTCATGTTTGTCCTTTGATATAAAACATTTTTCTTCCATCAAGAAATAGTCAGTGCTTGCTTCATGTCTTTTTATGGATGACAAAATCTGCAGGAAAAAAAAAAAATTTAAAAGCAAAACGTCTGTAGTAAACACGTGAAGCCAGGTGTGTGCTTTCCAGGAGGGCTGTATAAAAATAATAGTACATGTTGGTCAGTGTATACAGCAACATGGTTAGAGAAGGCATCACCAAGCCTCATTTGTGGCTCAGTTCAGCAAGAAAACTATAGGTGCAAGGGGTGTGTAGGAGAGGAGTCAGAAGGTCCAGGAAACATGAAATCATCTTTTCTCTGTTTCCATCTGTTCTCGTTTGTATTTGTAAAGCAGACCACTGACTGCCTTTAATTTTGCATTTCAGCAGTAGTTTATATTACAAGAATCACACGACACAAGGGATAGAGCTTGTACAAAAGAAGTCATTATTCAGGTGTGCCCAGGGCAGCATGATGTGTAAATATCTCTATTACTCCATATAACATGATGTCTCCTTAACAATTTGTGCTTGTAAATATTTTTTGTAAACCTTTTGTATTTTGTGCAGCCTTAAAATGTATTTTCTGTTTTCCTCTGATTGTTATGTGTGTGTCTTTATTGATCTGCAGAGTGTTATTTTTATCCTCCTATTTTACCACAACTATAGGACAATCTGCTAAAAGCATATGGGTGTTATCAAACACAGAAAAAAGCTCAAAAGCAGTTCATTTATAAATGAAGAAACTCACTGACTGAAAACGATCTGAATTATCTGTATCATCTCAGTCAACTGTTTGCTCATTATACTCATCTACGCAAATGACAATTACAGTGTAATATAATCTTTTTATGACTGTTTATTTTCTTGCTTGTTGCATAAATGTCATTTTTATTACTTTCATTATTCTACTGCTTATTTTAATTATCCTTATACTTATTACATGATTATTAAATTGCTCATATGTGCACTTATATTCAGCAAATCTTTACAAGAAATAAAATAAACATAATGTGAAGTTCCTTCCACAAGTGTAACATGATAAAGGGGAGGGACGTAGGTCACATACAGTGTGCAATGTGATGCACTGCCATATAAGGTAAAGAAAGATATCAAAATAATAGAACAAATTGACTGGCTGACTACTGCAGAAGAAATTAGCCGTATAAAAGAGGTTACTCTATTGTTACTGAATCCATTTTATTTTAACATGTGTAAACAGTCCATACATCCCTTTCATCTACATTAGAGGACAGAGGTGAATCCCACTAGCAGTAAATGCATAGCTCTGGTCCGTCTAGCAGATGTTTTCAATCACTACTTACTTTTAAGCCTAAAATCAGATTCCAGTAACCCTCAAATACACAGAACTCTAAAGTAAATCATGAAGAGCTGTTAAGTGACTTTAGAATGCCTTACCTTGTACAAGGGCCCATTCATTATTCTCATTTGGTAAAAAGTATTTTGACACTGCAAATTAATCTCCTAACCTTGGCCACCACCAACTCAACTCTACCTTAAAATTTAGCAGACCTCATAAGCACAACTATATTCTACTATATAGAAAATGATTGCATTTTGTAAGTGTATTATGTTTTTCCTATACCATAAGAGCAACTCTGACCAAAATACAATTCACCATTCTGGGGAGCACGGGCACCCTGCTGGGTGTTTAATGCTATCTGGAACTAGTTCAGAACACTTTCCTCCATCTCTGACAGACTGCAATTGGCCAAACATGGTTTCTGAGCCATGTTACTGTTTTCAGGAACAAATGGATTCTCCATATATTCCTAATAAAAATCTCCATATATTTCTAACAACAAACTACTTGAGGGTAAGGGTAATTTTTGTAGAATTTACTTAACCAATGACATAAAAAACTTGGCTGTTTTGGAGTGGGAGGAAAAATCCACTTTGGGGTCAAGTAAAGGCCCAGTAGAGAACTAACTGAAGACAAGAAGCAGGAAAATAAGCACAAGTCATTAATCTATTCCCTTCCACAGATCAACCAATATCAATTCTTTGTCCTGAAATTGTGTAAGTAATTGTAATATGAATTTAATGTCATCTGTCTTCTTGAATTACATTTTTTGGACTCCATAAATAAATAAAATGAATAAAATATATGCAGTTAGCATGTACACCACTCCTCTTTCTTGTTGTAAACTAGTAAACGCCTAAAGCTGCCCCAACTCCATTGAGTAATAAGAAATCTGTTTTGGATTGAGTTGTTATCAGTTGTATATATGAACCAAGTACATGTTACTTGTATAGGCAACAAAGTGAACTTACATTGTCGAGTAGATGTTTTGCGGTTGTTCCAATGTTAATACTAAACACAGTGAAAGGCTCTGGTCCAGGAATACCATGCACAGTGACTTTAAACACTGATGTTGCTCTTCTTTCTTCTGAACTAAAAAACTTAAAAGAAATAAAGGAATATGAATAATAATACTCTGTTAATATTATTAGATAGCCAAGCAAACAGCTAAATACGCAATTAAAACGCATACTCATACTTGCAAAGGGACTTACAATTACATTCAGCCTGTCTTGTGAGTCATACTCCCCTGCCAAGTAGCAAATCCAATCTTGGACTGTAATGCACCACCTACCTAAGCATTGTTGCTAACTAAATACATCCCTTTCATGGGAACAGTATTCCCTGATGGCAGTGGCCTTATATAGCAGGAAAATGAACCCCACCACACTGCAGAAATAGATTAGGAATTGTTTAAGAAACAACAAGTTCAAAGTGACTTGGCCTACAAATTCTCTATATCACAATCCAATGGAGGATCTGTGGGATGTGCTGGAAAAACAAGTCCGATCCATGGAGGCCTCTTACAGGACTTAAAAGGATCTTTTCCTGACAGCTTGATGCCAGATACCACAGCATGCCTTCAGAAGGCTAGTTGCCTGCATGCCTCAACAGACCAGGGCTGTTTTGGAATTATATACACTGAGTGGCCAGTTTATTATGACCACCTGACATTTGTAGGCAAATTAGCCATAATTAGCTATAATTTCGCGCTGAAGTTGCTAGAGGGCCAGACCATTATAAATAGGGAAGCAGGTTGTTTACTGCGACAGTAGAAGTGATTTTTTTCTGAAGATATGGGTAAACAACGCAATTTAACAGCCTTTGAACGTGGGATGATTGTTGGCGCTCGGAGCCATGGAGCGAGTATCAGCAAAACAGCAGAATTCGTTAAATGTTCAAGAGGGGCTCATTGTGAAAGTGTTTAAAGACTGGACTGTCAGCCGAAAATCTGGGTCTGAACGTGCGAATATATTTTAGTCAAAACCTGGGACGTTCTATTAATATCAAGGACAATATGGAAAAAAAATGACAGAAAAGTAAAACATTTGCAAGAAAATAAGCAGACTGCTCCATCTGAAAAACTAAAACAGACATTCTGCAGTGGATAGCTGCTCCATTTTTAGCTCCAGGTTTTGTAAATTGGCTTGTACTGCATGGATATCAGGTACACTCATCCAATAAAATATGGCTATCGACACCTCTGGTAATACCTACTGCCCTCAACCGGCAGTAAATTACATTTTATGCTGATCTCTCTGTAGTAAGAAATACAGGCGGCACACTGGTGCTACTGACAACAAAGCATAACAGAGCGTCTCTATGGCAAGGTTTTATTTTATTTTCTATAAATAACTGCTGTGAACTGGTAGATGCGTCACACTGGGTACACAGTGGCAGGTCCAGCATTTTGCTAGTCTATTTACATCCACTGAAGAATTAATATTGCCTATAACGAACACACATCATGGCAATAAAAAGGTTAAAACAAGTTCACTAGCTTGTTGAAAAATTCACCTGTGGGCTCGTGGATCTCATTGTAAAGCTACTTAATCACTTCCACATGGTGCAGAAATGGCTGCTTATCTGCTTCTCCTGGGAGTCTGGGATCACAGAAACATCATAAGTATGGCAGAGAAGGGGGGGGGGGGGGTGCAAGAG